CTCTTGGAAGTCCTACACAGGGTTTTTATGAGTCAGAACCAACTTAATGGCACACAACAACAAAAGTGTATACTATTGTTTTTGTTAAGTGCTGACATGTAGGTTCTGACTCATAGTGACCCTATATTGGGCTTCCAAGAAGCAGCTGGTATCTTGAATCGCTGACCCAGTGGTTAGCAGTCCATTGCTTATCCTACAGTGCCATACCAGGAGTATATAAATATGTGTGTGTATGTGTGTTTGTATGAGTTTCAATATTCTAGACTTGTTTATCAAATGAAAGTAGTTTGTGGAATTTTTAAAGTCACTTATTCCAGAAGCACTAATCTAGGCTTTAAATTATTATTTTCCAGGTGGAAACAAGTTAATCAACCAACATTTTCGTCTGAATTGGGCATGGATCTCCTTTGAAAAGGAATATTACCTGATCAATGAGGACTCCAAATTTCTAGATGTTGTTCTTAAACGTAGAGGCTACTTGGGAGAAACCTCATTTATAAGTAAGTTTAATTTGCATCTCTGTCTCAAAAAACCCATTCTCTAGCAAAGCTTTTTTTCTACATAATTTTTCTACAGTGATTAAGACATTGTTGTTAAGTGCCATCGAGTCGGGTCCGACCCATAGCGACCCTGTACAGGGTTTCTGAGGGTGTAAATCTTTACGGGAGTAGAAAGCCTCATCTTTCTCCCGCGGAGCGGCTGGTAGTTTCGAACCGCTGACCTTAAGGTTCGCAGCCCGATTCGTAACCACTACGCTACCAGAGCTCCTTGATTGAGACATAAGAGTGAGTAAAAAATTACCCACACTGATTAGATTGAAACACCCGTGCACATCCATGGCCGATGACAACATTGAGCGTGCACATGAAATAATTCTGTTGAGTAGACGAGTTGCAGTGGATTATGTGGCAAATCATTTGCAAATCAGCCATGGCTCTGCCTTTGAAATAATCCACAATAGACTTGGGTTTCAAAAAGTTTGAGGAAGATGGTTACAGAAACAATTCATGGGAGAGCATAAACAGAAGCATTTGGACATCTGCAAACAAAACGTGAACCAACACTTGAAGGAAGGTAAAAGTTTCTTTTTAAAAAAATCATTACTGGTGATGAGACACGATCCACTGCTACAAACCTGAGATTAAACAACCAAGTGTGGAATAGAAACATCCTTCATAGCTGACCAAGCAAAAGTCTAAAAGTCAACCATCAGCTGGAAAATTGATGCTTGCTGTTTTCTAGGATAATCAAGAGTCAGTAAAGTTTCAGCAATCAACAGTGCACATTACAGTGGAATGCTTACTGAAGAGCTGAAGCCTAAACGTCAGATTAAATGCAGAGGACTGCTATCCAAGGGCATTGTGCTCTTGCATTACAAGGCATGTCCACATACCTCTGCCCACACTGTTGACATGCTGCATAAACTTCATTTTGAGGTGTTAAAGCATCTTTCCTATAGTCCTGATCTTAGTGCATCAGACTTTCACCTGTTTAGTCCCCTGGAAGCAGCCCTTCAAGGAGGAAGATTCACCCCTGACGAAGAAGTGAAGAGAGTGGTGTATTCATGGCTAACAGCTCAGCCTACAACATTTTTTAATAAGGGAATGCGAAAGGTTGTTGACAGACAGACAAACTGCATTGAAAAGCAAGGAGATTATGTCAAAAAATGATGCATTTGTCTTTTCTAAAAGTTGATTAAAATAAATTCTACAGCTGGAGTGCTGACAATTTTTAACTCATTCTCATACTAAGTTTTGTTTAATAATCAAGTTTTAAAGCTTAAGATGTTGACATTTAAAGCTATAGAAACAGATTTGTGTCCATATTAATACTGACTGCTGTTTACTGCACCAGTGATTGTCCTCATTGAAAATGCCTTCAGTAACAAAAGGCCTTGGTGTTTCCATAAAAACACAAAACCAGTTGCCATCGAATATATTTCAACTCGTGGTGACGCCACGCGTGTCATAGTAGAACAGTATGCCAAAGCGTTTTCAGTGGATGATTTTTCAGAAGTATCTCTGGACTTCAGTGAGCAGCCAGGCTCGTTCACCATTTACATCACCATTACACCATTTACAGCTATTTACCATGCTGTGGTTGTATTGCCAGCAAGTCAATTCTGACTCCTAACAACCGTATGTGGGCAGAGTAGGACTGCTCCATAGGGCTTTCAAAGTCATGACCTTTGAGAAGCAGATCACCAGACCTGTTCAATGATTTGCCTCTGGATAGGTTTGAACCACCAACCTCTCGGCTGGTAGTTGAACCCTTAACCATTTGCAATACCCGGGGACTCCATAGAGAACAAAGGCAGAAGTCAGAACTCTTCAAACCTTCTACCTACAAGTGACTGTCTCTGATAGAAAATAATTTTACAAAATGAAAGTAATCACTCATATGATAAACCTTTTTTTTTTTTTTTTTGAAGTGTTACTAGACCTTAGTAATGTTTTATACCTCTGAAGCATTGCCCAAGTTACTGTTCACTGCATTTGCATGCTCTTATCTGTCACTCCCTTTCCCAGAACCCCAGTGGACTCAATAAAAGACATGTGGTGTAACTCCTGTTTGTAACTGGAAGTTAGATGCCCAATGCTAACCATCTGCTCCTGCTCTGCCTTTTTAAAATATAAATGAATCAAAATTTAACTTCAATAAAACTTCTTTCAAGCCCAGTTAAAATTCACATGCGATTTTATGTAACCATAAGACAGAAATATCGTAGGTATATTGGTCATTTTAATGAGTTATATTTATTATATGTTGATAAAAAGGATAGCACCCTAAGTATATGATGTTTTTGGACTGGGAGCACTGGTGGTGCAGTAGAATAAGCGCTGGACTGTGAACCACAAAGTCTGCATTTTGAGCCCACCAGCCACTCAGTGGGAGAAAGATAAGGTTTCTGCTCCCACAAAGATTTGCAACCTAGGAAACCCTGTATAGTATCGCTAACAAGGTATGGAGTAAAAGAGCTTTCATGGAGTGAGTTTATCAATTAAGATAAGAATCTAGGAAAATCTCAGCAAACTGAAAAGTTGGCAACCATATGTTGCTTTCCAAAATTATTATTTTTTAAATTTTACAAGTCCGTGAAACCCAAATACCTACCAATATATCACACGTACACACACATGCAAACATATAGTCACGTGCATACACAGCATACAGGTTCTTAAGAAAATTTGTGGAAAATGGAATGAAAAGATAATGGAGTTTTGCCACAAACTGTTTGAAGTCCCCTCATATCTCTGCCACCACTCTTCCTGTCCTGTGGTCTCCCCTAACATGTTTGGATTCTGGATAGTAAATACTCCAAATTTTAAAACACTGTCGCTTTTTAACTTTACAAAAACGAAAACCCCAAAACCACTGCCATGAGTTGTAGTGACCGTATGTATGGTCCATGAGACTGTAAATCTTTCTCCTGTGGAGTGACTGGTGGGTTTGAACCATTGACCTTGTGGTTAGCAGCCCAAAGCCTAGTGCACAGTGCCACCAGGGCTCCAGGAGACTGGTTTTCATGCTGTGCCCTGACCATCTCTGCCCTACAGCCAGAACAGCTCACTTCCGTCTTTCACTACATGTGTCTGTATAGTCCATCACTTACCTCTGTATTTAACCTGTGAACAGAAAAAAAATGCTAGTTTTTGCTCTTTTTTAAAGGGCCTGTGGAGTTCTTGGGTGGTGCAGATGGTTAACATGCTCAGCTGCCAACTGAAAAGTTGGAGGTTCAAGCCCACCCAGACACATTTCACAAGAAAGGCTTGATGATCTGCTACCCCAAACTCAGCCACTGAGAACCCTATGGATTACAATATGTCACCATGGGTCAGAGCCAGTTGGACATGATAGCATCTGGTTATCTAGACTTTCTGTGTACACCTACCTGACCCTGTCTGTCTTACTAACAGGGAAAAGCTAGTCTTAGCTGTACTGCTTTGTGCTTAAAGAAATAAGGTAGCTTGATAATTGTTTGTACCATAGGTAATAAACATCTTTAAGGATGCTCTGTCTGTTTCTGTTTACGCTGAATTCCCACTCTTAGTGAGTATGTTTAACTCCTTAGTTCTACTAGCCCATGGATAGCATTGAAAAGTTAATATTGAAAAATATTTCTTAAACTATGTTTTGTTCATTTCTTCTCCTTTGACTTGGTTTTATTTTAAGCTGAAGGCTAAAATGTCATATAAGAGCACATTTTCTCTTGCAGTTATTTTGTTCATAAACGTTTACTTCCTATCAATACGGAGGTCAGCACCAACGATTCTGAAAAAGTGTATAGCTCGACCTGGTTACCCTCAACTGGTTGTTAAGTAACCTGAGACAGCAGAAGGTTGTAAAGACATCTGTGTGTAGTTCACAACTGTCAGTCATGGAAAGTGGTAATAGAATTTATGATAGAACCTGGGATGGAAGTCAGAGGAAACCAAAACACAACCTAATAGGTATTTTACAATGAATAGATTTTCATGTTACTCTTCCCATAGAGCCTTCACTTTCATTAGTAGCCTTTTTGTATTAAATAGATTCCTTTGTGTCTGAAGACAGAATATTAGCTACCTGAGGACCACAATTTTAAATTATGAATTGTTTATCATTTGTGTATATAGTTTACCAGACATGATTATTCATTTTCTAACCTCTAAAATCCATTAATCCTCTAGTCATCTGTCAATTTGTCAGACTATGGTGGCTTGTGTGTTGCGGTAATGCTGGATGCTATGCCACCAGTATTTTAAATACCAGCAGACTCAAGTATGGTGGACAAGTTTCAGCAGGTGTTCCAGACTAAGACAGACTAGGAAGGAGAGGAAGCACACTTATGAATGAAAAACTTTTGTTGTTGTTGTTGTTCTTGTTGAGTGTCATCGAGTCAGTTCAAAGTCATAACAACCCTGTGTAGGGGTTTGCAAGGAGTGGCTGGTGGGTTTGAACTATCAACCTTATGATTAGTAACTCTTATCCTAAAGTGCCACATCCAGGACTCCATAGAATCCTTCAATATTGCAATTTGAGGCTTGAATTTCTTTTTCTGAAAACCTTATGAATAACATTGGAACATCGTCAGCTATATCTGTGTCTGAAGATGAAGGTTCGGGTTAGAAGGCATCAAAATACAACTGGAGAAGAGCTTATTCCTCAAAGTATAGCTGACCATGATGCCACGAATGGTTTAGCAAAGCTTTCAAGACTTTCATTCTCTGATGAGGCACAACTCAAAATGTGAAGAAACAGCTGCAAACATCCATTAATAATCCTAACATGGAATGTACAAAGTATGAATCTAGGAAAATTGGAAATAGAATACATAAAGATCAATATCATAGATTAGTACGCTGAAATGGACTGGTATTTGAATCAGATAGTCATATGGTTTACTCATATTCATTGTCAAAAAGAACATTTATAGGTCTATCTTGAAGTACAGTACTGTCTGTGATAGGATAATATCCATACGCCTACAAGGAAGACCAGTTAATACCACTATTATTCT